GGTTTTAAAGCTTTACAATAGGTATATGGAATTAATGAGGTTAAATATGAAGTTTTTGAAACAATGGAGAGTTTGTAGAGTTTTTAAAATTAACCACTCAAGCATTTTTGTCAGCATTTTGTGCTTGACATGCATATTTATGCGTTTGCGCGCAAATTTGTGAAATATATTTCGTGTGGAGACTTTGTAGAGTCTTTGAAATTTAACATCTTTTGCTTCAAGTTCGTTTTACCAGTTAAAAAGTTGTCATTACACCACTTCATACCGGTTTAAATTGGATTTTCTTATAAGGGCCGTACCTTATGCTATTTTGCATATCCTTCTCTGATTAGAATATGTACATATGTATGCACATAAATGTGTGTATGTGTGGCCTGTGTGTGCGTCTAGAAATTTGTTTAAGTAATTATAGAAACGCTGCTAATGAGCTTTTGTGCGGAAACTGAAGGTTGTTGTGTTAATTTTACAAATTTTACAGAAGTGGAAGGTAGGAAATGCATACATATGTATATGGAAAAGATAGTAAACCGAAGTAAGGGGCTGAGAAGTTGTGGAGGGATTAAATGGCAGTAATCGTGTCTAGTACCATAAGTAGCCGTTTAAATGCATTATTTACATTTTTTGTTATTTACATCATTATAATGTCGCTGACCTGTCCATCGCTTGACGCCGGTGCGTATGAGCGATTTTTGTATTTTTTAAATTTATTTTACACGCAATTAATATGGCCTTGCACACTGTCAACACGTTTTATTATTATAGTTGTTTATACAATTTTTCTTCATTTATATTTCCTTTTTTGTTTAATCAAGCATTATTTTATTAAAATATTTATTCTTTAATTTTTTATTTTTTTATTTTTATTTTTTATTTTAATTTCATTTACTTCTCTTAATTTAATTTTATTTTGTTACTTCTTTTTAATATTTGTTTGTTTACATTTTCCACTTTGTTTACATATGACATTTTTGTATAGTTTACAAGCATCTACGGCCATAAATTTGCATTTGTGAATGAGAAGAAAATCGCCTCCGCACACTTTTTCTTCCACTCACTTCTCTTTGTTTTGCTCTGCTCGCTCCAACATCTTAAATCAATGGAATATTTTCTTGTTTGCTTAAAAATTGCCATTTTTCAGCGGTTTTAGATTGTTATGGCGTTATATAGTACATACATGTGTACTTATATTTTTTTATTTAAACATGTGTGTATAATATATTTGCATAATTTTTTTATCTTCATCTAGTCGTTCGTTGCTCACATTGCATAGAGTTTTTCTCAAGTTCAATAATTGTTAGCACGGCTTCGGCTGTCTTTCGTGCCGAAAATATTTTGTAACTGTTGTTATTTAAGTATTGATAAAAATTTACTGACATAAGTTAGTAAATATTTGGCTAAACTATTTTTATAAATTTGCCTTCATCTGAGCAGATCGTTTTGGTTGCTACGTGTCAACAAATGGCTTTTAAATGTGTGTTATAAAAATATGTTATTGTAAAATTGCCGTACGAGCTAAATTTATTAAAAATATGAATTTTGAGCAAAGAGTAGAGTTTGGAGACTTCATGAAAATCATTGAAATATATTTAAAAGAACAAATGTTACTTAAATATAGTAAATAAAAATGCAAAGTAAAAATTTTAACTATTTGGAGAGTTTGGAGACTTTATTGAAATCATTGAAATATATTTAAAACAACAAAAATCACTTAAATATAGAAAATAAACACGCTAAGCGCAAAATTTTTTACGTGTGGAGAGTTTAGAGATTATATCGAAAATAGCGAAAAAAAAGTGAACTGCTAGAGTCTTTAAATTTTAATATTGGAAAATTGTAAAATCATTAAAAATAAATAATTTATTGCAGCACTTATGCCAATTGAATGCCTCACTAATAAACAGCTTAATGATAAATATGACGTTTGAATATAAACTCGTATAGCTGTTGAATTATGTATTACACAATTTTTCGAAAGAAGAAATACAATACAATACAGTTTATGTTCATCATTACACACTAATTTTCACAAATCGCACAATTAAATGTGCCATTTTTTAATTTGTTTTGCAATCAAACTTTCGCATAAACAATTTAGTAAAAAATTAAAAATTCAAATTTTTTAATCGAAATTGATGCTCTTAATTAAATACATATTTTGTTTATAAAAAAGTGAACAATTTGCTCATAAACTGGAGTACAAAGTGCTACTTCCATTTAACTTGGTTCACTTATGACTTATTATTACAAATTATTTTCTTATATTTATGCTAACTCTTACTACGTAAAATTTTACATAGCTGTCATTTGGCAGTAAATTGAGTTTTCCGCCTGCCTTGTACAACGTTTGTAGACTTGTACGGAAATTGTTTACAAAACTTTTTAATTTAATCCAAAGAAAATTTTTTAACTTAGTTTGGAGTTTGGAGACTTTTTGTGAGCTAAAAATTTTTCCAAAAATTAATGTGTGAATTATTTTAAATTAATTAAATAATATTTTCAAGAAATATTCAGTTGTATCGACTTTGAAGAAATTGGAGAGTTTGAAAAATCGTTGATCACCTGAAATTTTAGCTGAATGTAATGATTTCTTATGTACTACAAGGTCCATTACGTGTACCTTTGAGTATTCGTAAATAGTGGAGACTTTCAAAAATCATTCACATTCTGAAATTTCGCTTAAAATTATTTTGATTTTTCTCTGCCATAAATATTGCGCTCTTTGAAACTGAACAGTAGTCATGGTAAAACATTTAATTTCTATGCGACACACAAACTTTTCTTGTTCTATGCAGGCCAGTGACCTTCTTTTCTGTGATGCACCTGTTCTTACGCCCACCGAAGTTCCGCTTGCATACATGCAGATGTATGAACACACATATACGCACACTACTGCGGCATGACTCAACAACAACAGTGGTTTCCTTGAAATATTTGCCTCTAAATTTTTCTGTTTAAAATTTTCGTTTGAAAACAATGAAACTGCAATTCCTGTTGTCGATCGAAATGGCCTTCTGTTCTTCGTTGCATTGCGAAATACTATAATGCACATACATACGTGTATGTATATATTCGTGTATACATACATACGTGTACATATCTATGCGAGAGGAAGTAAAAATTATGAGGTCAAATGTAAAATCCCCTTTAGTTTGATATATCTATTGCATAAATATGTATGCATGTATGTATGTATACACGTATATGTATGTTTGTGCATTTGTGTGATAGTAACAGCCGCAAGGAGTCTAATTTATTTGTTGGCACTCAAGTATGTATGTTTGTTTATTCTACTGAAAGAGTGAGAGCGCTCTCAGCTGTTCCGGGCCAAGTGCAAGTTGCCTTTTTTGTAGGGTACACAAACAGATTAAAATACACCAACAATGCAACTTAGCCATAAACAATAGTAGTAAGCATACATTTATATGTAAATATGTACATATGTACATATATCTTATGCGTTTGTATGTACGACTATGCATGTTAACATTTAGCGTGTGCTCAATCACTAGAGTTGCTCTTGCCATATATTTGCTGGTGTGGTGGGTTGGCCGTAAACCAGCAGGCGACACGAGAAGCAGGGAGTCGAGCATTTGCTGACGGGTTCGCCGGAGGACTGGCTATCGGTCTGTTGGTCGGTCGGTCTGTGTATGTGGCTGAATCACCAGCTTACAAGCAACATGTTCGCTCGTTCATATGCGACGCATCTGTTGGTTCGATTAGTTCTCGGCTTGACGGGGGGCTTTTATACCATATACTCGCACTCCCCCAGGTTAGGGTCGCTTGCGGGTTGTCTGTTGCTCTGCTTTCAGCTGTTGAGGGTTGTAGCGTGATTACATACATATATATACATACAGTATTTGTATACGCTAATTTTAATGCTCTCTCTAATACGTATTTACATGTATACATATGTATGTATTTATATTATATTATTTTATCGTCATGTCCAGTCGCCCATCCACATAACACACTCACCTCACACCTCACAATTTGTACCAACAACTAACAACAAACAACAGCTAACAGCTCAGTTCTGCCAAGCTCTGCTTGGCTTATACAAATTGATGTATGTATGTATGTAATTAGCGCTTATACGGAATCGCACTGACGTCTGATTTGCCTGCTTTTGTGCATCGCAGTGTTTTTTGCACTTTGTAGTACGCAATTGCATTGCAAAGCGAAACGGTGTCATTTTACTAAGCGAAGTTGTTGTGTATTTTGTGTGTTTATTAGAAAAATAAATATATATTTACCGAACTTTTTTATGTAGAATTTTCACCTTCGGAAGGCTTTGAATTACGTGTAGTTAAATAATTTGTACGAAAATTCGTTACTCAAAATATATATAATAAAGGCAAAAAACCAAAAAATTTTTCTTTGTGAAATTAAATTCTTTATATCAAAAATATAAAACGATTCTTCAAAATAACAAATTATGCAAAAACAAGTTTAAAAAGGAAATTAAAAAGTGTGGAGCATAAACTAAAAATTATAAAAATAATAATTGAATAAGCAAATATTTTTAAAATTTGTCACAAAGCTAAGCTCGAAGGTGAGTTGAATTAATTTCGCAACATTTGGAGAGTTGTTAAATAAGGTTCGAGAGACATTTTTCTAGTAAAAAATATTTTTTAAATGACTTAAATGCCAGCTAAGCTTTATATTAGCAATTTCAGACTATTTTTTCATCAAAATAAAAAGTCTCCACTCCCGGAGAGTTGTGGAAAAATTACTCAGGAGCAAAAATAATAACTGCACCAACATTATAATACAAAAAATTTAAGATTTTTGCAATGTATAGATTTTGGAGACTTTTTTGAATAGCAAAATTTGGCAATTGAATGTGATGAATGATAGAAATATAGATTATGGAAGTGTTAAATTGTACAATATATATATAATTACATATTAATATAAGGGAGAGACATTTTAAACCTCCTATTAAAATATTAGTTTTTTACGTATTTTTAATTTTTTTTTCTATCATTTTTTCTTTGCAGATGGTTTCATGGCAATCTTTCGGGCAAAGAAGCTGAAAAATTGATATTGGATCGTGGAAAGAATGGTTCATTTCTGGTGCGTGAATCTCAAAGTAAACCTGGTGATTTTGTGCTTTCAGTGCGTACAGATGATAAAGTGACGCACGTCATGATCCGATGGCAGGTGGGTAGAAAAATACAACAAATAATACAGAGAAAGAAGTTTAAAGTAGTGGCAAACAAGAATGAAAAAACTGGTACCAAAAAATAATTGGAAAAAATCAAAAAACCGAAAAATAATAAGGAAAAACTATATAATTATGCAAAGAATTATAGAAAAGAAATTAAAAAAGAATTAAAAGTGGAAATATTCAATAATTGAAAAATTCTTTTTAAATTTTATTTAATTATATATTTTGTTATATTTCATTTTATTTTATTAAATTTACTTTTTTTGTTATTTTTTTTATTATATTTATTTATATTATTTTTATTGGGAGCTGTTTTTTTGTACAAAATGCATTCTATGTGTTCTATGTTTTGTATTAGTCATTTGTTGAGGAATAGAAAAACTCAATGCATTTCCATTATTTCAATGTTTTTCCTCGAAACGTTCGACCTTGAAATATTCGTACATAGCAACGTAACTCCAAACTGAACATTACAGCCGTCACAACAAAATCAACAACAACAATATGAACGAAAAATGCTACCAAGTGTCAGTTGCAGCTAAGCAAGCAAATGACTTGCGCAAAAATCAACAGCAACAACAATAACAATAAATTGAAGATTACTTTTATTGTTAACTGCTAGTTGTTGCTATTCTTGTTATTTCTTGTTGTTTTTTTTTTGTACAAAAAGAGTGAGAAAATGCAAAACGCAAAAAAATAAATAAATTTAAATAAAATACAACAACAACAATCATTATAGTTAAACATTAGAACGAAATACATCACGTTAAATTGCTGCTTAAACAAAATTGAAATGCAAGTGACACTTAACTGCCACCCAAGCAACAGAAATAACACCAATAACAACAACAACCAGAGCAATAGTAAAATCATCTATCAGACATTGCGGTTAAAGCAATAGCAAATGTGCATTCATACATACATATGTACATACATGGAAACATATATAATACGATTGTATATTTTGACATCAGCACATAACAGAATAACAGAACAACAACAACAATATAAACGTATTAGTTAACGATTGCGCTTCTATGTGTTTGTATTGCTGAAAAACTAAAAAAATATTTTTACACTGCGTTCTTTGTTTTATTAAATTTTTATTTTATATTTTATTGACATTTATTATATTTTACCTTGTTTTACTTAAATAGAAATTTAATATTTTTTTTTTTTACTTTTATTTACTTTATTTGGTTTTGTTCTATTTTATTTTTTCTAAATAATCCGGACATTATTATCGAATTTTTTATAATTTGTTGGTGCTTTTTTTTTTTTGTAATTTTACAACAAATTTCTTGCTCTCACTTAAACCGTATCTTTAAAATAAATTTCATATTTTCACAATTTTCGTTTCTTTCTCGTAGGACAAAAAATACGACGTTGGCGGAGGCGAACCTTTCGACACGCTGTCTGAACTCATTGAGCACTACAAGCGTAACCCGATGGTGGAGACCTGCGGCACAGTGGTGCATTTGCGGCAGCCGTTCAATGCGACACGCATCACCGCGGGCGGCATCAATGAGAGAGTCAATCAATTGGCCAAGGTAAGGACAGAGAGTGCATGGCGTATGAGTAATTTTTAATCAATAAATATCAAATTTCCTTTCTTAATCAGGGTGGCTTTTGGGAGGAGTTCGAATCGCTGCAGCAAGACAATCGCAATATGTTTTCTCGCACGGAAGGCTATAAGCCAGAGAATCGCAGCAAGAATCGCTACCGCAATATACTGCCCTGTAAGTGCCAGCACGACACACACACATATGCATATATAATATTTCAAAGTGACTCCCTCGTACCGCTGTGACCGCTGTGACTGCTGCTTGTGGCGATCGCACGTGCGAATATGTTAATTTTTGAACACCCTCAATTTAGGATCACCGTTTTTAATTATTTCTCATTAAAATTTTCCATATTTGCTTTCTCTCTCCCCCCGCCTAGATGATCATACCCGCGTTAAACTGTTGGATGTGGATAAAAGTGTGTCTGGTGCTGAATATATAAATGCGAATTATATTCGCCTACCCACCGACGGCGACTTGAATAGCATGAGCTCATCGTCGGAGAGTTTGAATGCCACTGGCATGGTGCCGTGCTGTCCCGCTTGTACCGCCGCTCAAATCCAAAAGAACTGCAGCAATTGCCAAATGCTGAATAAGACCTGTGTGCAGTGTGCTGTGAAGACTTCGGTGCTGCCGTTGAGCAATTGTCTGACCTGCAGTAAGAAAGCGGATACTTTGGGGAAGCATAAGCGTAGCGATTCATCGGCTTCTACGGCCACGACTTATAGCATCGCCAGTAGTTCACGTTCAAACGCTTCAGGTGGCGCTGGTGGTGCTGGCGGGTTGTTGAAAAAGAGTAACACGGAGTTGGCAGAACGTGAAATGTTTAAGGTTTATATTGCGACGCAGGGTTGCTTGCAGACCACGATTGTGGATTTCTGGAATATGATCTGGCAGGAGAATACGCGTGTTATCGTGATGACAACCAAAGAGATTGAGAGAAGTAAGTTGCAGGCAATATGATGCATCGAACTCAATTAATCGGTGCTGTATTGAAAAGAGTTGAATAGAATGCTGCTGAATGATATTTAATATATGCTTAATTTGTTACCAAAGCAATTCAGCCTCGAAACTTAAAATTTGCAATAATTCAGCGCAGTTTTATTGAAAAGAGTCTTATTCAGCGCTATAAAATTGTACCGATTTCATTTTAAAAGCTATTTATTACTACTTTTTAAACAATTCAGCAATTCTATGCTAAAGTTAATTCAGAAAAGGCAATTCAGCACATTGAATACGCTTTAGTCCTTAACGGAAATATAAAAAAATAATATGAACTTTATTCACTGCAAGGAATTTATTTTTTTTGTTTGATCTACTGGGAATTTTTTATGTAATACAGCGTTCCGTTTCCGTTTCTGTTAAAAAGATATGTCGTTAAAGTGAGTTATTCAGCGCATTTAACTCATACAATTCATACCCGTCAAATATCGCATAGCCTACTATTTTTGACTTAAAATTATTTTCTTAATCTTGCAGATCGTAGCAAGTGTGCCAAATACTGGCCGGATGAGGGTCAATGTCGACAATTCGGTTTTGCAAAAATCCAATGCCTTACAGAACATAAGACAAGTGATTATACATTGCGTGAATTTCTATTCTCTTGGCGTGATAAGCCCGAGCGACGCATCTATCACTACCACTTTCAAGTGTGGCCCGATCATGGTGTGCCAATGGATCCGGGTTGTGTGCTGAATTTCCTGCAAGATGTCAACTCACGACAAAGTCAGTTGACTCAGGCTGGCGAGAAGCCCGGTCCCATTTGTGTGCATTGCTCAGCGGGTATTGGGCGTACGGGCACCTTTATTGTGATTGATATGATTCTCGATCAAATCGACAGATATGGTAAGTGCTACGATGAATGAATGGCAAATTTTATAAAAAAATATTATAATTTCCCTTCTTACTTCACAGGCCTGGGCACCGAAATCGATATACAGCGCACAATACAAATGTTACGCTCCCAACGTTCTGGTTTAGTACAAACTGAAGCACAATACAAATTTGTTTATTATGCTGTACAGCATTACATACAAACGCTGATACAGCGTAAACGTGCCGAAGAGCAAAGCCTACAAGTCGGTCGTGAATATACGAATATTAAGTGAGTCTCATTTATTGTATTGTATTTACTATATTACGGATTGGGAACTATTTTTTGTGGCAATTGAAGAAAATAATCTCATATTTATGACATTAGAGTGGTATTCAGTTGCGTGTGTGTATGTCGAAGGGAGAATTATTTAGCAGTAACAATCCTTTAGTCATTAGAATGGTATTCAGCTGAGCTGAATTTGAATTTTACATACTTAAATACTTATTCCAAGTGAATTTAATCTACCTTAACTGAGTAGCATAATATTTAGCAGCGCTGAATAATCTTTTAATGGGAAAAAATTATTTTTAAAGACAATTTCAATTAATTAGTTACCAACTTGTAAATTTTACGATATTCAGGCCCTGCTGAATGGCAATTTTACATATCTAAATATTTATTTTCACAGCATCGAAGCTCGCTTAGTTACGCGACATAATTTTTAACTGCGCTGAATAGGATTTCGCTTTTCTAAAGACATTTTAAACACAATTCTTGTATCAAGATTGAAAATTTCACCATTAAATCGTTTTGAATTGTAGAAAACAACATGAAATCACACCTCTTGTTGCCAATTACTGTCGTCTATAAATTCAAATTTAGTCTCTCTCCGTCTCTCTCCAGATACACGGGCGACAACAACAGCAGTAGCAGCAGTGACACACAAAGATCTCCGCAACAAGCAACAATTTCTTCTAGCATAAGTTTAGTAAGTAAAAATCATACAACAGACGGCATGAATCATTATGCCAGTACAGGTGGTAGCGGTGGTAGCAGCTCTACAGCTGCAGCCGCTGGCGCAGCCAAGATCACACCACTAACGACGGCGAAAAAGCCAATCGTATTACCGCCGTTGCCGGCCAGTGCTTTGGGTGGGCTGAAAATTGGCGAAAGCAGTAAGCAACAGCAACAAAAACATCACCACCAACAACAACAAAGCGCTATGCAACCGCAGCAGCAGCAACAGCAAGCGCACGCAAATGCAGCGTCAGCAGGCAGCAATGCGGCTGCCGGCACTGCTGCTGCGGCAGGTAAGCAGGTATTCACTCGGCTTAGTATTTTCAAATCGTTGACTCCCATCGCTTTACAGCCAACGAAAACATTCCCAAAGACATGAGCATGCGCCCGGGCAGCGGCCAGCAACAGCATCTACAGCAAAAAAAGCATCAGCTACAACAACACACGGCACACCAACCTCCACCGACACCGCCGCGCCCTAGCTATACATGACAGTTAAAATTTTGAAACTTTCGAAGCGGCTAAAGAGATCTCCACCATTCTACTACACTTTCTGTCTCTACTAACTTCTTTGGCATGAAACCAAACCAAAAATGCAATGAAAGAGTTTCAATATTTGGCCTCTGTGCGTTGGCAAGGCTAATGAGGCGCATGTTGGTGACAAAAATTACGCAAACAAAACATTCTTTCTTGCTTCCATAATTTTTCTACAAATACAAAAAAGCGCTAAAAAGTGCTGAGTCGTTACACGTAGTTGATACATATTATGCTATTAACCCTTTGATGGCTTTATTATTGTACATTATTACATCTCCATATTTCTTGTTCTGCCTGGTTTTCCCTTCTACAAATAATTTTTTATGTTCTCCAAAATGCCTTTTATTAGCTTAAACCCTCTCATTTAATTCTGTACAATATGTTTAAAGCAGAAAATATTCAATTTTAATTTGTTGTGCTTTCATTGCTGTTTACCACCCCGCCTAGTTTCCCAACCTCCAAATATCGTACTTTAATTCGCTCGTTTTCGTTTTTTTTTTTTAATTTTTCCCGAAAGAAAAAAACAAAAAATAATAATCTCTGATCATGTTGTTGGTTATTGTTGTTACTGCGTGTATTTACTAAACGTAGTTTGTTGCTGCTGTGGCTGTTGCTGTTTTTAGTTTGTTGTAGTAGTTGTAGTTGTATGTATGTAATATATAATATATTAATATGTATCGCTCTATGGTAGTTAGTTAGCGCAGCCTTAAAAAAAGGAACGTAAAACGTAATTACCAAAAAAAAACAAAAAAGAAAAAAAAGTTAAAATAATTTATATACATAGATATGTGAAGAAAGCGTTAATTGTGATCTGTATTGATTAAAAGAAATAATTAAAAATAAATACAAATGTTATAAATAAAAGTTGCAACAGAAAACAACAAAAATACGATATAAACAGATATTAATAACCGAAAAATTTAAGTTTGCTTAGCTTGAAAAACAAATACATAGTTTAAATTTGCAAAAGCTTTGTAGAGATAACAAAATAAATTTGTAGAACAAATAGAAAAGAAAATATAAAATATAAAAAAAAAATGATTGGCTTAAAGCAATTCAGCGAAAATATGCAAAAAGCGGAAATTGTGAGACTCTTTATTTGAATGAAAAATAATAAATGAACTTATACAAAGCCCTTAAATAATAAAATGAAAAAATTTGTCATCATTTCAACTTGTTTATGTTTATAACATTTATGTAAAATTCTCCAAATATTTGGCAAAACTCAAAATAATCTTCACATTGTCCACACCCACCATTTTCAATTTGAATGCAATAAAATTGTACATTTAAAAATTGAAAATTAAAAGATACCATAAGCAAAAAAATAAAAATAATAAATAAAAATGCTATACAAAAAAAGAAACAATTATGCTTTAAGAAACACATAACAAACGTTTTACGCTGCTGGCTTTTAGTCCATTCAAAAGAAAAAAATTCAAAAGCAGAAAAAATAGAGGAAGTAAAGAAAAAATTATGATTTTTTTTTGAAAATATACGCATACGTAATCGCTTATTTGCAACGCTTTAGTTATATAGTATATGTATTTGTATAATTCTATATATTTGTATAAATATTATATTTTAATTTTATATCATTTTTGTATTTTGTATTTTGTAAATGTGGAAAAAGTTAAGAAATAATTGTTATAGTTTTTTTAACACTATTATTGCTGTGTAATTGCATATATAAATATCTATATTTAAGTGTAATCAATAAATTTACTAATTTTAAACGAAAAAATTTACAATTGTTTTAAATTTTTAATTTTTTAAGGCTTTCTTTTGCATTTATTTTTTTTTACCAAAATTTCATCAGATTTTCGAATAATTTAGTTGATATTTTTTTCGCGCGAACTTCACTTTTTATTTCGCAATTTTTTAATGTTCTCAATTTAATTTATTATTAAAATTTCTAAATTATATTCTTTTATGATTCTTTTTTAAACTTTATTGCTTACATTTATAATTTACAGATTTGCTTTTAATAATAATTATAATTTCTGTTCATTTATTTATTTAATTTCATGTAAATTTAATTGTTGCTATTTTGGCTCGAATTATCATTTTCTAATTTTTGTTTTCCACTTAAATTTCGAAATTTATTCATTATTTAAAAAATATTTTTTCTTATAAATGCAAGTTTAAATCAATTATGGTAAGCACTTGAATAGTTTAATAATTTTTGTAAAATTGTGTGCTAAAAATATATGAAAACCTTACGTTTGAAATTATAATAATTATATAATTAAAAAAAAAATACAAATTTTTAAATTGTTAAAAAATAATAAAATAATTTCCTAATTTTAATTTGGTCAATTAAAATAGTTCTTTTATTTGTTATAAATAGTTGTAGAGAAAAATATATATTTTTTTATATATAAACATACTTAGGATAACAAATAAAAATGGTTTTTACAAATAACAAAATACATACATAGTATGTTCGTAGGTATGATTTGATGGAAGAAAGGATGTTTGAGATGCTTTAATTAAAAATATTATTTCCATATATATGTACATATTATTGTTTGGCCCGAATTCTATTGAAGTATCAATATGAATTAGAAAAATTATATAAAAATTATAAATAAAAACAGATTTTGCTAAACAAAACGATAGAGCAAAAACTTTTTAAAGTACGTATGTATGTAATTAAACGCTTTCCTCGAAGAAAAATTAAACAAATTTGGTTACGCTTGCAAATTAAAATTATGCGCATTATTAAGTTATCTTCAAACAAAACAAAAAATTATAAAAAAAACATAATTTTTTAGTCTACACTAGTTTTTTTATGGAAAAAAATATATAAAACAACAAATACAAACATACAAAATCATATAATATACTTGTGTATATACATATATATAAATATATATATGTTTGAAATACTTTTAACTACAAAGAATTTTTGTAATTTTGTAAAACAAAAAGCTGCACAAAAAAGCAGCAAATTAATAAAACAATTTTGTTTTTGTATACTTGCTTTAACTAGTTATATGAATTAAGTTCAAATTAAAATAAAAAAATACAAAAGAAATTTTAATATATTGTATATTTACGTATACACTTAGTGACATAATAATTACACATAATACATACATATAAGCGCATGAAAAAAAATAAATAAATTGAAAATTTATAATTTTTAAAAAATTAGAAAAGGCATTTTTTCTTCATGTTTTTCTAATGGTTTTAAGATTTAGTTAATTAGTGTATTTTTAATACTCTTGTGTTAATTTTTTTAAACCTTTTTGTTTTGTTTCATTATTTTTTTATTTATATTAGAATAAACTAATAATCTAGAATCTAATTATATTTAATTTCATTAGCTTTAATTTAAAATATTTAGTTTTAATATATCTTATTTTAGCTGTTTATTATTTAATTTGTCAACTACATATTTTTTATTATATATTTATTTACAATTTTTCGATTTTATTTTACTTTTATTTTAATTTTCTTTTATTTTATGCTAATTTATATCATTTCGTAATTTTTATTTATTTTTTATTTTACTTTACTTTATATTTTATTTAATACCAATTTAAATTAAAAATATTTGAATTTAATTTATTTTATTTTAGTCTATTTTAATTTTATTCTAATTAATTTTATTTATTTATTTTTGTTATTAATCAATTTTATTATTAACTTTTTCTCTTATTTCATTTTGGTTTTTGCCCTTAAATTCCCCCTCAACACACTGACATATACAAGTACACTGCGATAAATTTTTGTGTTAAATTAAAAATTAATAAAAATATATGTATATACATACAATCCCGAGGGAGTATAAATTAACTGTAAATCAAAAGTATGAAGTTCTTCACAGCAAGAGAGTAGAGTGAAAGAGTTGAAAGACGTTGACTTTAAGGAAAGCAGTACTATGAGAGCGAAAGAAACTGAAGCCGGAGTGAAAGAGATGAGAAGAGTTGAGCAAATTGTTATGAAAATAGTTTGAAAGAGAATAAAAATTAATACATATTGAAATATATTTTTTAATACAATTAATAATATTACAAAAATAAGAAGAAAATGCGGGGCGAAACAAAAATAAACAAGTATTTAATGTGAACGAAAACCAACGAGCAGTTTTAAGGTGTATTCATTAAAAGAGGAATAACTAAAGAAGAAAAAATGCAATTATTTAATACAAAAAAATATTGAATAATTTAAAAAAAAAACTAAGTGATTTAATAAAATTGTAATTATTGTTGAGAAAAATAGGTAAAGAAAGCGAGAGACATGGAGGAAATATTAAAGAAAAGATTGTGATGTGAAAACGAAACTGTTATGTTTTTATGTACATAAAAAACATTTCCAAAAAAAATCACATTTAATCCGATTTTATAAATTGACTTTTTAAAATAGGCAAGAAAAAGTATTAAGCTGCCAGTTCGAACGGAAAGCTCAAATAGAGGAGAGTTGAGGAAAATATTTAATAACACGGGAAAATTATCGCTTGATTTCTCTGACCGCAAATAAATTGAATGAGTTTGACATTTCAAAAACAGCTGATTTAATCAATATATGACAGCTGGCAACACAGGTGACATGACGTTTTAACTGTAGCATTTATTCGTACGCTTTAAATGTGCTCTAGTTAGTACAACAATGTATGTATGTATGCTTTAAAAAAATCAAACAAACAAGATTATCAATGAAATAAAAAACAAAAATATATATTAAAGTATTAAATACTTATGCAAAAAAAAAAAAAAACTAATAATTATAAAAAGAGTGTTATGCTAAAAAGTGTTTAAATGTAAAATAAAAAAATATGTAATGTTATAATTATAGCCAATAACAAGAAAGAAGCCAAAATGCATATGAAATATATATATTATATTAAAAAACATTAAATTTGCGAAAAATGGCAGAAGCAAAATATTTAAATAAATAATTGAACTGAGAAATTTTTGTATGATGTTCGGCAATAAGGGTGATAAAAACTTTGCAGGTAAAATTTTTTTCAGTGTAAAGTTTATTCGTGGCTGCCTTAAAACGCCGCTGATAGTACGGTTACGATACGGTTACTGGAACTTTTACTCCATTTCACTGTTATTTTCTTTTTCTTGTTTTATAAACACGTCTTTGTGCTACGGAATAGTTGTAAATCTATTAATTTTTTTTTTAATTTTTGTTCTTAATTAATCTTCAGGCGATTCGCAACGGAAGATAGGCCAGCAAACTTTGTTGTTATTGTTGGCATTGTAGGGTTCATAAATAAATTGTTGAGGTCAGTAACTGATTGGTTTGTGATTGATTGAGAACCAATGGAAAAATTAAGTAATTTATAATAAAAATGAGGAAATTAATAAATCAAAAATTATATAAAAAAATAAATTAAATAAAAGCAAGTGAAATAATATAAAAAAATTATTTGAAAAAAATACATTCAATTTTAAATTAAATTGAATTGAGTTAAATAATATAAAAAATAAAACAATAATACAAAAATTAGCAAAATTTAAAAAAGAAATGTTAAAATTAGTCCTGGAATGTTAATTATTTTAGAAGTTCAAAGTTCTCAATAAAAGAAGGTCAAGACAAGTTTATACATGTGTATGCATGTAAAGCAAATACACATTCAAATACTATTTTGTATGCTCATTTTGGCTAGCGTTGTTGTCAACTAAAAGCTTTCAGTCTGGCCGAGATAATCGCATGGAGCGCATGCACATTGAGGTTTCTACCGGCAATAAAATGTTTTGAATTATTGGAAAAGAGAGATTAAAAGACTTGTGTATAAACAAAAGCGAGTTGTGTGCAAAAAAAGGCCAAGATTTTGGGTGCAATTTTTTTTAATTGCATTGACGCGAGACGCAGAAATTTGAAATAGAATAAAAAATATTTGAAAAAGAGGAATTTGGCCAAAAAAGCTTAATTAATCGACAACAGTGCAAAACAATAAGTGTAAAAGCGAATGGCTTGGAATTAAAAAATTGCGCAGCAAATCACGAAACAATTTTATAATTATCTACAATTATGTCTCTAGTGCTTATTGTGCTTTTAACTTGTCTCATATGTTATTTTATACACGTTAAATGGAACATTTTCGCTGTGGGCAGTCGCATACCCGGACCAGTGGCCCTACCACTCGTCGGCAATGTTCAAATGATATGCAAATTAAAACCAGAATGTGAGTGCTTAGAAAAATTGAACATCAATTTAACAATTTTCAATAAAAAATAAATATATAAAATAAAATAAAAAATTAAAAACACTAAAGAATAATTTTTTTTTTTAAATTTCAAAAATTGATCAAACTTGTTAAAAATCCTTTCTCAACCTCAGCTTTATTTAAGAGCATTGCCGACTATCGTGCACAATTTGGCAAAAGCTATCGCTTGTGGCTTGGGCCCGAATTGTGGATTTTTCTGCATAGCCCCGAGGAAACCCGTGAAGCTTTAAACGACTCGACGCTAACCAGGCCGGCGGCATTCCAACAATTAAGTGTACTTATCGGCAATGGGCTGCTGATAAGTTATGGTAGGACAAATCAATTTAAAAAAAAACCACCTCGCAAACATATCTAATTTCAGGCAAACAATGGGAGACACATCGACGCGCATTAAACCCCGCTTTTCATATGAGTATACTCAACTCATTCACACATGTAATTGCACAGCACGGTGAGGAGCTCGTGGAAAAACTTGCCGCCACCGAATGTAAAGCTATAGAAATAAGCGATTACCTCTTCGCTTGCATACTGGATACGATTATAGGTTTGAAATGTTTGGAATCGACTAAATGTGTGAAAAAATCGAATTCATAATACATTTGCAGAGACTTCAATGGGTAAAGAGCTGAACTCGCTTCGGGATCCCAACAACCGTTATGCGCACGATTTTCACAAGTCGGTAATTTTTTTGAAATATTCATAGTTTTGCTCTTCACACCAAAAGTTGTCTTCAATATCTCACAGAACTAGCGAACTGCTCTTTAAACGCATGACCAATCCACTTTTGGGATGGGATTTCATTTTCAAACGCACAAATATGTATCGTGAAATGAGCGCGTCGCTTGCAGTTATACATCAGTTGATGACATCGGTGGTTGACGCACGAATTGAAGCGCTTAAACAACAGCAGGCGTTACAAATTGAGTTGCCGTCCAGCGACGCGTTGGTGGAAGGCATACGCAAGCAGCGGCGTACATTGTTGGATACACTGTTAACCACACAAATTGATGGCGAGCAGTTGACGCGCAGCGATATTTGTGATGAAGTAAATACGTTTGTGTTTGCGGTGAGTTTGAGAAGCCGTACAAATACATGCATACGACGCTCAACATATGTTTATATTTGAGTATTTTTCTATAGGGTGTAGACACCACTACAGCAGCAATGTGTTTTGTGCTCTATAGCCTTGGTAAATATCCGTTGGAACAACAAAAATTGTTAGTGGAAATTAGGGAGGTAGTACATGGTGAACTAACTACGGAAGCGGTAAATAGCTTAACATACCTGGACATGTTCCTCAAGGAAGTTTTGCGCTTTTACACAGTTGTCCCGCTAACAGGCCGTCAGACCACGGAAGAAACTGTGATTGGTGGCCGTCGCTATTGCGCTGGCATAACACTTTGGATAAACCTCTACGGACTTGCACATGACGAGCGATATTTTGATGAACCGCACGAGTTTCGACCTTTGCGCTTTGCGCAAACACAAAGTGAGCGCTTGCCACCATACGTTTATATACCATTTTCGGGTGGCCCACACATTTGCATTGGCCGTAAATATGCGCTGCTGATTATGAAAATTATAACGGTACAAATTTTGCGAAAGTTCGAGGTGAAATTACGTGATCCCGCTGAAAAGTTGGTGCTACAGGCACAAATGGTTTTGAAGGCATTGCAGGGTTTTAATTTGATATTTCTTCCAAGATTAGAAGCTGACACGATGGCTGCTTGAAAATTGCTTAAATAAATATATTCTGCCATAGTTTATTATTTCCTTGTTTATTCTTTTATTTCGGTACTTACAAATTGAACATCTCAGCCGGAAACAAAGGAAGGCGCTTCCGGTGGCTTGTAAGTATGTGGAATGCAATGTTGCTTACGTTTGTTTCTTCTTAATTATAACTTGGAAAATGTTTTATTTTTGATGAGCAAGGCTTATGCATTTTTCTATATACACGTATTCACGACTAAAACACTTTCTTAAATTTAAAGAAGCAAAATTAAAAAACTGTATCCAACGTGTACAAGCAAATTTAAATAAGAATTGCCAACGTCATGGTCACGATAGAAAATTGTTGTCTATATTGCTATCGATTACACAGGCAAATAAATTGCTCAATTGTTTTTCAAACCAATAAAATCTATGAAAAAGAGAAAATAATGCTGAAAAAATGAATGACTTTAAGCAGCCTAAAGCTTGAAAACAGGTCGTATGCTTGGAAACCTACGGACTCTTGAACGCCTCAGCCCGCAAGTCAAATTTTCAAGCACATGAAGACGTTATGTAAGTGAACCAATATTTCTCCGTAGTTGGCAACGCCGCAACATATGATTTGTCAATGCAAACAAAAAAGAACAACAAAGATATGTGTTTGACATTTACGTGTCGATTAAGAATAAAAATAAATCTACAAATTTAGAATATTTTGCAAGTGAATAAATATCAAAGATGCAGTCAGCTGGCACCGACGATTTACTACAATTTCGTGACTATAACAGCACGCCCAGCACGAGCAGTCCACCGGCACAGATAAATGTGAACTCACCAACTCATTCTGGTGGCTCTGGTAGTGGTAATAATGCTTTGAATGAATTAATTTATGATATGAGTAACTCAGCTGGCATATTGAGTGGTAGCAATGCTGCAGGAGACGGTGGAAATATAAATACATCTGCAACTACCGCTGGTAGCGGTGCTGATGGTGGCGGTGCTGGTGCTGGGAATAAGGTATCGTTTCTAACATTCGAGTACTATCAACAATTCTTCAACGTGGACACATCTGTTGTGTTGGAGCGTATTGTTAATGCAGTCGTACCTATGCGTGCGTCTAAGAACTATTTGCGGTTCGATATTGGTGAAAATCCAGATTTATATGGCCCATTTTGGATAACTGTTACATTGGTTGGTTCCGGCTAAACTTTCTACTTTTATGTGAAATTCAATTTCTGACTTTGCCTGTATATTTTATAGATCTTTTCAATTGCTATTGGCGGTAATATTGCAAGTTATTTGCAACACGCTGATGACAATTACCAGTGGCGCTATAATTTCCATTTAGTATCCTACGCTGCAACATCCATATTTATTTACGCCAACTTCGTCCCAATTCTATTTTGGGCTTTGTTCAAGTATACATTAAAGCCAGTTACGGATGAAGAACCAGTCGAAAGTGTAAGTGTGCGCCGAATATGTGTGTGTCTTTATAAAAAAAAATTAACTTATTTTGTCTAACATTATAGGCCAACTACACGCCCTCATTGTTGTCGCTTATGTGCCTCTATGGCTATTCACTATTTGTTTATATACCTTTTTCTGTATTGTGGCTTATACAGGTGAGATATGCGGGCGCTTTATGCTGCATGTGATTATTATTTAACTAATTTAATTCAATTTTCATCTTTCTCTACAGATTAGCATAGTGCAATGGGTTTTTGTCATCATCTCCTTTTGTCTTTCTGGTTTGTCAATGATGCACGTACTGACACCCGCTACTCGTAACTCCAAGATCTCTCAATTACTAATATTCGGAATATTACTTTCACAATCCCTGCTGGCTGTTTGTTTCATGTTTTACTTCTTCCATATGCCAAACAGCCCGGTGTCTACTGCAACAGAGTCCGCTGCTATAGAGGAAGTCATTAAGACAGCAAAACTTGTAGTGACACCTCCAGTAGTGGCAGGCAATATAGCACCAGCTAATGGCACGCGCTAAGTGTTTCATGATAATCTAAAATTAAAAAAAAAAAAATAAGACGAATCGTGTAAGATTTCCTTAGAAAATTAGAAATGTTTTTTTTTATTATTTTAATGTAAATTTGATTTGTCTGTTGTGCTTTTATGCTTAGTTTCTTAGCGAATCGCTTCTAATATCAAATGGAGTGATTACTTTCAAGTACGAAATATGCCATTATGTTATTTACATAAATATATGTTCATTCCAAAAATATTTAAATTTATTATACATATGGTTTTATTGTAAAATTAAAACATCTTTATAATGTTGGCGCTGCTGTTGGGTTGCAGTTAAAAAAATGGGATTACAAATAAAAATTGCCACAAAATACCACAAATGTTTAATTTAATTTTTCTTTAATTAACGTACAAAATATTTTAGTGTCATATTTAGTTTTGTTATTGTTTTATAATACGCTTATGAATTATTAGCCTTGAGATTATATTTAATTAGATTTTGAACCACAAATTTACATTAATATTTATGTATGTATGAATGCTGTTCAACCCAAGCCCTTGCAACATAGCTACACAATCTCCTTTTATACTTTCAGAGAATAGTCGGTAGGTCAATATAGAAAAAAAAATGAAAAAGGTTCTGTCAACGCATCAGCCTTGACAACGCGATGGCGCGCTTTGTTGATCATTCAATTTGAATATTCGCTTTTTTTATTGCAATATATTGTATTGTCATCTTTGTTGTTGTTTGGCTCGTAGGCTGCAAAGTTGTGTTCGTCGCATTAAAGCGCGACACAATAAAAACCATCAAAATCCACCCCAAAATCCGCATGAAATCAGGCTTTCCTTTTCCTAACAGCTTGACAACCCTTCTGCTCTATATTTATGTGCATACATGTGTACACCGCCACGCATGCGCCGCCACACGTGTGTGACTTTTCCTCTTTCAAACTTTTTTCAGGGCTTTCCCCGGTGGCTTTATTCTGTCTCTTCGCGTATGTACGTCGCATGTCATACTGAGACGCAGCGAGGAAATTTTTTTGACATTCATTCATTCATTGAATATACAGCATGTACTGGCTGGAAAAGCGCTTTTGTTTACGCCGAAGGGGATAGAAATGTGCGTTTACACTTGGTTGATTAAAATTTGGTGTGAAAATGAAAACTTGTTGTTGTAGCATAGCGTATGCCAATGCGAACAGTGGTGTAGGGTTAGGAATAGCAGGAATAAATATGAAACCCACGGGGATCAATACCGCTTGAAAAGAATTATGAAAAATTTTGTGATTCCTCTTGAGAAACTCCAACCGAAAACCCGTTTTAATGGATCTGTTAGCTATCCTTGCCCGCTTTTTTCTTGTCCATGAAGCAAATAGTTCGCTTTCGGCAAAAACTAACCTAAAAGAGCTTCAATCATGGTCGATAATGTCAAGCTCTTATGCTGGTCTGGGCAGAACTCGAACTTATGACCCATCGAACTTTTGACTGCCAACCAATAGGCCAGTGCGGTCACTTTCCACTCACCCACTTTCTGCTGCAATGATTGCCTAACTTTCTTTTTTCACTCGAAAACTATTAAGTTAAAGTAAACCTTAACCAAAGGCTCATTCCATAAATTATACAAAACTAAAAAAAATCCAACATAAACTTTGCACCCAAAGCGCGCCGCACGCTGCCACGGCTAACAACCGCAGCCGTCTGCCACTCAAACAACCAACCAGCGAGCAAGCTCACTGCCAAACAATAATTTATTTATAAGCCCATTTTTTCCACACAGAACTTTAGACGCCACAAGAGAAATTATTCAAATTACAAATTCTACCAGGCGCACAGCAATGGCAGCAAGCGAACCGAGGACGATGAATGGCGAAAACAAATCGACTCGAAGTGAGGTATGTGTGTGTGTGTGTATGTATGGGTGTAGCAGGCATTCAAACGCAAATATTTAAAGCTACTCACTGCTGCCAACAACTGGCGCAAGAAGTGATGGAGATGGACGGGCGGTCGGGCCTGCCGAGTCCAGGAGGTTGAAGCGCAAGCCAACTAAATTTGTTGTTGGCAGTGTATAATAAAAAGCGTTGAAACTTTAGAAAATTTTACAACTTGACAAATGAATGGCAGCGACAACAGCAACAGCAGCCTGGTAGCACTGATGTACCCCTGACATGAGGTGTGTAGTGTGCGAGTAGCAGCAGTACTGGGGGCAGTTGCTATGAAAGTTAATGCTGCTGTTGGTTGTCATGGCGCTGGTGGTAGTGGTGCCTTCTTTGCAACCGTTGTACCTTTTTGGCTGCCTTCGCTGCTTTGCATATGTAAATGTGTGCTGTGTTGCAGCTAGATTTAAATATCTGTTATTTTTAATTCTTTTTTTTTCCTTGGCTTGACTCGGGATTCCACCCTCGTTTTGGCATGCAAAACTCATCCCTTTCGCATGCCACAAATTGCAAGACCGGCTTATCAAGCATAATAAAACTTGGACTATCAACTGTAGGTAGACGCACAGACACATACACAGGCATACATGAACATACAGTGCTCTACGCGTCGCTATAAATTAAGCAACTTTTGCTGCATCACTTCTATTGCACTTCAACGATTGCAAGCTACAAATGTGGGTGCAAAGTTTGTAGCTCTTACTTTTTAAACTTTTTGCTCTATGTACGTATGTGTGTATGTATTGCCATTACCCATTTTTGTTTTCCTAACATTTGCATTTCCACTCTACTCGCCTACTGGTTTGTTATTTTTTCGCCCATGGTCACGACGACCACAATCGCTAAAGCCACACCCATTCGTCATGCTTTTAATTTTGTTGCTGTTGCCGCAGGCCGTTTTCCGGTTTCCGTTTAAATATGCAACATACAATCAATGCGCGCCACTTGCGGCGTTTTGAGCCAGCGCATCATAACGCCGATGCTGCTGCTGCTGCTGCTGCTGATGACTGGCATGCTTGCTGTTGTTGGTCCGCTTGGACCAACTATTGTTTTTTCTTTTTATTTCTGTTTATTTAAAATATGAATGTTGTTTTTGCCCAATGCCTGCTTACTTTGAATTTCTCGCTCGTTCCATCTTTTTTTTGTTTTTTTCTTTTTTTTTTTATAAATTTACAATAAAAGAAAACATGTGCGTTTAGAAAAATTGCCTGCCAGCTGTCCAATCATTGCAAATGTCAACAAAGTGCCGTAAACAAAGGCTGGCCGGGCTCAATGTGGTGTGGCCAGATGTTTAATATGTGATACCTGCTTGCTTGAGGAGTGAATTTACACGAATGCTTGTTCGTTAATTGTGAAAAACAGAAAAAATATTTGCACATAAATTAATATTTCTTCATAAAAAATTTAATTAGAAAAGTTTCTTTGCACTTTTTCTCCTCTCTCCCCCTACGCATTCATACTTGCATTCTGAAATAAGTGTTTATACACTCAACACACATAATAATCACGCATATTTACATACATAAGTACAGACATACATTCATACATACATGCGAGTACATTAGCCGGAGTCCTACCCATAATTAAGCACTCAATTTAGCACTCTCTCGCGCAGTAAATCATTTCGCCTGAAGTCTTTAGTGAAATTTATATTTTCACCCCATTTTTTCGACAGGTAAAATGCGAGCAATGTGAGGTGGACTTGTATGTACGTATTTAAGTATGTGCTAATGCATGTGTTCGCCTTTGATTTGCATAAAGCTTTTGGGATGGGTGGGAGTGACGACTTCAATACTTCCCTATTCTGCTCCTTTGCTCCTTTGCTCCTTTGCTCGTTTGCTCGTTTGCTCGTTATGTATGCACGGAATAATTTCTACTTACAAGCTGTTACGCAATCAATATGTGTGTTGTTGCGCTTTAGGCCGGTGGTAGGGTGGTTCAGGTGTGTAATTTCATACACTCCAGAGACGTTTGAAGGAGATTTTGAAATGAAATCGTCAATTACTATGGTGCTGAAGGCATCTTCAAGTTCGGTCTTTTTGAAATGCTGAAAACCCTTTGATGGAACATGACAAATGCAAGTCTTGATGGTTTTTGTGGCAAGTCCAGTCTATGGAGTTGCTGTTCCTTCCTCTGTGCCCGATGACCTCTCTTGAGCTCGATTTTAAGGTTGAAATTTAGAAAAAGAAAGGTTTTTGTACCTCTAGCTCCAGCGAAAGCTTGACTATAAATAGCACTGAGTAACACAGAAAAGTGTTTAAGATCTTGGCTCTATTAAATTTTTCCGCATTGCACTGTTCCTTGGTGTCGAAAATACAAATTTGAAATCACATACAAAAATGGAAGTGAAATTCAACGAGAGAAAACCTGGAATTAGGTAGAGGCCTCAGCGTGGAACTCAACGAAGTTACCTTTATTCCATAATTCCATATTCTTCCGGAATTCATTTGGACCGAGGTTGAATTAAGCAGTAGTTCTGTTATGAACCTCTAAACCAACCTCTGTGATTAGAAAGTACCAAACAAACAATCTTGGAACTCCAGCAATTCTGTATGTACAAAAATATGTACATATATACATAGTCATGTACAGAAATTTTCCGCATTCGAATGCTGATTTTCCTATTACTCAAACGTCACATCGGGCACATCGAGCTCCCTTAGAACAGGCAAACACCTTCATTGAATGCCAAGCAGATTCCCGCAACAGACGTTGAATATTGAAAAGCTAAGCAAGAGTATTGGTGTGTGTGGGACACGCAATAGCACAGATACACAGATACATATCTACAAGCATAAATCCTTCCATGCATACTCGTATATGTGCTTTCGGTAGAACTAAAGCTCACTCACCCACTCACTTGGGAAAATTCCTTCCAAAAAATAGGATCGCCCAGGCGTGCAACCTCAAAGCCATTTGCCCTGACTCTGGTGTGGGGTTATGGAGAAGCGCTCGCTGGTGGGGTACAATTTTTGCAATGTCCTTATATGTGGCTGCCTCAAGCAAACATATATACAAATATTCGTGTATGTATGTTCGAAAGTATTTGCATAGAAAATTCATGGAAGTGTCAGTGGGGACGCAATTGAATATGTTTGATTAATAGAATTTTATTTTATCTCTGCTGATTGGTTAGATAGAGTCGACGAAATACGATCGATAGATGAATGCTTTTTCCACATATATATATATATATATATGTATATATATGATATAAGTATGAATGTTAAACACAAGCACACAATTTAAAGAAAATTAAATTTTCAACGATGCAAAGCACGAGTCTGTTCAAATATAAAGTCAAAAAAATAAAACAAAATAAAATAAAATAA